GTTTTATTTTGTTTTTTTGTAAAGCTTAAGAAAAAAAATCTACATCTTATACTTGAGCCTCCATACTTTAAAAAAAGAAAAAAAGAAAAAAAATCAATAAAAAGAAACTGGGACGCAGTTAGCTCTGGCCTTCTGTGTTCCTTCTCGCCGGCCTCACTTTCCAAGCACGTGTGGCTTTGGCCGTGCGCTGGCTCCAAGCGGGGACACGTGTGGGCCCCGCTCACGGCAGCAGAGGAGGCATCCAGACCCCGGCCCCACCACCCTGAGGACACACCGAGTATGTGATTAGGTGCAGGGTCCCCCTCCCTTTCTGCTCTCGCCCTTGGAGGGCAGGGGCACCAGCAAATACCGTGTGCTATCACTGCCCCACACACCTCCCCATGCATCTCCTGCCACCTTCCCACAGTGCATTGTGCAGATGTGAGGCAGCAGAGGCCACACACAGCCATGGAGTCTCTGCCTTCTCTCCTCCGAGCTTCCCCAGGGAGGATCCAAAGCAGATCTCAGAGTCCTTGCTGAGACAGCCCCCATCTGTCTGTGGCTAGTCAGTGGGCTCCACACCCTGGCCAGCTCACCTATCCGAGGTCCCCGGCTCCTGAGTCTGATGCAGCATCTTTATGGAGTGCAAGTGCCATGGGAGACAGCAGAGAAGCCCCTGCCCCCTGGGTTCCTAGTGTCAGGTGGAGAACGCAGGCATGTTCCAGCCATGGGCCATTGGGGGGGGACACCCAGTGAGCCATTCCTCACGGGCACACAGATGCTGTGCTCCAGCCATGGGTCATGATAGCAGAGCGCCTGGCACACAGAAGGGGCCAGAAAAACAAACTCTGCTTTTCATTTTCTTTCATGGTAAGGTTTATCCAGGACCACTGAGGTAGGTACGGGGCCACCGCAGTGGGATCTTGCAGATGGAGAGAGAGACTGGGCTCAACTCCGAGGCAGCAGCACGGGCAAGTGGGGATTAGAGCTCAGGGGCTGGAAGGGGCAGTGGGTGGACAGTGACCAAGAGGAAACCTCAGGGGTCAGGGGCCTTCTGCCCAAACCCACCTAACAGGATTCTCACTGAAGACGGGATAGGGTGACCAGATGTCACCTGGGGGCGGGGATGAAGGATGAGCCCAGGCGAGGTGGCTCACACCTACAATCCCAGCACTTTGGGAGGCCAAGTTGGGAGGATGGCTTGAGCCCAGGAGTTCAAGACTAGCCCGGGCAACGTAGACCCCATCTCTTCAAAAATTAGCCAGGCGTGATGGTATGCGCCTGTGGTCCCAGCTACTTGGGAGGCTGAGTTGGGAGGATCACTTGAGCCTGGGAGGTTGAGGCTGCAGTGAGCCAAGATTGTGCCACTGTACCCCAGCCTGGGAGACAGTGAGATCCTGTCTCAAAAAAAGAAAAAAAAAAAAAAACGGATGGACCTTCTTGTAAAATTGACTTGACAAGGGATTGCTGAAACAGGGTTTGACAAGGGCACACACGTGGGCCTGGGGGAAGGTTCAGGAGCCTGACCCAAGTTTGGCCAAGCAAATAGTCTTTGTCAGTTATCACTTCAAGAGGTGAATCCCAGGCACGGTGGCTCACGCCTGTAATCCCAATACTTTGGGAGACCAAGGTGGGCAATCACCTGAGGTCAGGAGTTCAAGACCAGCCCGGCCAATGTGGTGACACAACGTCTCTTCTAAAAATACAAAAGTTAGCCAGGCGTGGTGGCGGGCGCCTGTAATCCCAGCTGTTCTGGAGGCTGAGGCAGGAGAATTGCTTGAACCCGGAAGGTGGAAGTTGTAGTGAGCCAAGATCATGCCATTGCTCTCCAGCCTGGGGAACAAGAGTGAGACTTTGTCTCAAAAAAAAAAGGAAAAATTGGACAAATGGAAAATGCCTTTCCTTGGACACATCAGAGGAACTGAGGTCGCAAGGGAAACAGCTACCCTGAAGTCAGTGAGACGGGCACACCCAGCACGACACAGAGAGGCCTCCTCTCCTGGAGCAGAGGCTGCTAGGCAGGGAGCTGCTGTGCCCACCAGCGGTAATTCCACAGAACTGCAGAGGTGGTGTGGACTGCCTGATCTGAGAGTGACCCGTGGAGGCTCAGGCCCATTCTCAGGGGATTTCCTTTCAGGAAACCCACCAGCAGCTCCTTGAGCCATCACTTTCATCAGCCAAACAATCCCTGTGACCACAAATACTGCTTGAAACCCAGAAATTGTGACTGTGATTTATGTCAGTCCTGATTTGCTCTGCTATCTAGAATCTTCCACAGGGACCCTTACTACCAGTTGTTTTTTGTTGTTTTTGTTTTCATTTTCATTTTTTGTAGCGATGGGGTCTCACCCTGTTGCCCAGGCTGGTCTCAAACTCCTAGCTTCAAGTGATGCCTCCAGCTCAGGCTCCCAAATATTGCTGGGATTACAGGTGTAAGCCACCATGCCCAGCCCTCACTGCTAGTGTTTTTTTTTTGTTGTTGTTTTGTTTAGTTTTGTGATGGAGTCTTGCTCTGTCACGCAGGCTACAGTGCAGTGGCGTTATCTCAGCTTACTGTAACCTCCACCTCCCAGGTTCAAGCAATTCTCCTGCCCCAGTCTTCTGGGTAGCTGGGACTGTAGGTGCCCGCCACCACACCTAAATTTTGTATTTTCAGTAGAGACAAGGTTTCACCATGTTGGCCAGGCTGGTCTTGAATGCGGGTAACTCCCATTCTGGGCACCGAGGAAGGAGAGCTAAGCAGACCCCTGGCACAGTTAGTGCCTGAAAAATATCTTACTGCTCATTTATTTGCTTTTATATATAATCTCTTCATAGATAATCATATCTTATAGTCGGAGGAATGTCTAGAGCAGACACATTGCAGAGCAGAGCCTGGCCAACATGGTGAAACACCGTCTCTACTAAAAATACAAAAATTAGCTGGGTGTGATGGTGGGTACCTGTAATCCCAGCTACACTGGAAGCTGAGGCAGGAGAATCACTTGAACCCAGGAGGCAGAGGTTGCAGTGAGCTGAGATGGCGCCACTGCCCTCCAGCCTGGGCAGCAGAGCAAGACCCCCGTCTCAAGAAAAAGAAAAGAACTCTCCCATCGCAGAGTGGGCTGTGAAGACACGGGGAGATCTTGGACACCGAAGGCAGGCGGCGCAGGCCGGCCCACACACAGCAAGTGTGCAACCAACAGCTGCATGCCAGAGGGCACGCTGTGCTCCGTGGGTGTCCCCTAGGATGGGGCAGGGGAGACTGGGCCTCCCTGCCCACCTGGGTCTCAGAGGTGTGCCTTCCCTCCTCTCTCCAGCAAAAGGCTCTTCCCCTGAACAAACCCCGTCACCTGCTGCTGGGCTGCTGCTGGGTATGCCCCAGGACCCTGTCCTTGTCCTGAGCAGTGGTGTGGCTTTCAAGGTTCCTTGGAAGCAGCTCAGACACCGACCTCCAGGCCTCCATACCTGCCCCTCCCTTTTCCTGAATTGCCCTCCCCTCTGCCTTCAAGATCCAGCTCAAAGGCCACTCCTCTGAGAAGTCTTCCCTGATTGACGCTCCAGGGGCTGGTCTCATCTTCTCATTCCCTGACCCTTTCTACCTTCCGGTCACAGTAACCATCTCCTCTCCTGGAAGGCAGGGCCTTGGAGCTGGTTCCCCACAGCGCAGGTGTCTGATAGCAAAGGCCGGTGGAGGGCTACGCTTACTGAGCATCTGCAGCACCAGAATGGCCGTGACGCTGTTTCCCTTCTCTGGGGCTGGGAAGGGAGATTCTAAAGGCAAGGCTTACTCTGGGACGCAGCTTCTCTCCCCAAGTCTACCCCGCCGGATGGCCACAAAGTCCCTGGTTCTGGTTTTCCAGAGCTAGGGTTGGGCGTGTGGGGTGAGATCAGACCAACACGGTGGGGAGCTGGCACCTCTGTGCTCCGAGCGCCTGAGGTCCACGGCCCCAGGGAAAGTGGAATCAGAACAGGGTCCAGAGCCAGGTGTGGTGGTGCACACCTGTAGTCCCAGCTTCTCGGGAGGCGTAGGAAGAATCCCTGGAACCTAGGAGTTTGAGGCTGCAGTGACCTATGATCACACCACTGCACTCCAGCCTGGGCTAAAAAATTTTTTTTAAAAAAGAACAGGTCTGGAAACACTAGTTTTGGAGTCCAGGAAGCACTCAGGGCTCAGTCCCGAGAGGCCCTCCTCTCCACTCTCCCGCCTTGCTCCTATACCTGCCACTTCTTCCTACTGCCTTCAATCCTGTCTTCCCCTTTGATATCTCCCGCTCATCCTTCTGAGTTGTCACCTCCTCCAGGAGGCTCTCCCTGATCTCCAGGGAGATCTGGTTATGCTCCTCTTCTCCAACTAAAAAATCATCAAAATTAACGTTTATTGAGCCCTTACTATGTGGCAGATTTGGGGCTAAACTCCATAATGTCAGCATTTTATGTGATTCTTGAAAGGACACAGGAAGTGGCAGTACTGTCCAATTTCACAGATGAGGAAACCTAGGTACTGAAGAACTGCAAGGCAGAACCCAGATCTCACAGAACCTCAGCCCTTCTGCTTCTTCCTGAGTACCGAGGGGCAGGCCCCCCATGGGGTGACATTCTCGATGCTGTGTCCCCACAGTGAGGTGTGGGGCCTGTCAGGAGAGGGGACCGAGAAGCAGGCTAAAGAAACCAGAGGCCCCAGGAGGATGTGCCAGGGCTGCAGGCAGATGTGGTCCCATGCGCTCGGCTTGTCCTGGATCCCCATGCACTGCTGGTCCCCAAAGCAGCCCCGACCCATGAGCTCCTTGGGGAAGAGGCAACAGAAGCAGGCCTCACAGAGAGGTACCATTTACTCAGTTGTATTTTTATTATTTTGAGACGGAGTCTGGCTCTGTCACCTAGCTGGAGTGTAGCGGCTGATCTCAGCTCACTGCAACCTCCACCTCCCAGATTCAAGCAATTCTCTTGTCTCAGCCTCTCAGGTGGCTGGGGCTACAGGTGCGTGCCACCACTCCTGGCTAAGTTTTGTATTTTTAGTAGAGACGGGGTTTCACCATGTTGGCCAGGCTGCTCTTGAACTCCTGACCTTGTGATCCACCCACCTAGGCCTCCCAAAGTGCTGGGATTACAGGCGTGAGCCGCCACGTCCGGCCTGTTTACTCGGTTGTCTGGAGTTGACAGGACAGTCCTGAGTCCAGCAGGTGGCAGCTGTGGCCCCTGGGTGAGCAGGCAGAATGAGGTAGGTGGCGGGAGGGGCAGCTGCCTGGTCTCCCGAGAGGCCCTGGGTCTCTGCTGCAGCCCCTGCCTCGAGGCTTCAGGGTCTACCTGAAGGTGTGTTCTGAGGGGGGTGGTTCCATCCTTGGAGGATCCAGAGGCTGACGCAGGGCTGCAGCACCGTCACTGTCCACACCTCTCCCTGCCTGGTGTGGCTTCCGATGGTCCCTGTTCTCCTGTGCTCAGCTTGGCTCTGGTCAGCTGGGGAGGAGGAGGGGCTCGAGCTCTGAGGCAGGGGTGCTGCGCCTGTACACCAGGAACTGGATGGAGATCTGGGGGGCCGCTGTTAAGGCCAAGCTGACCGGAGACTGGGTTGGACCTACCCCTGGGGGCCTTCGACTCCCTGGAGCTGCCTCCATCACCCTCCCACCCCCACGCTGCAGGTGGGAAGGGCCAACCTTGAACTCCCCGCCTCTCCCTTAGCTGTGCTCTCCACCCGGCTCTTCAGGCCCTAGCCAAACTCCCCCTGCCTCCAAGCCCGGCACCGCCTTCTCCCTCCCGTGGGCAGCCTCCCTTGACCTCAGCCCAGGATCTTCTCGTCCTCTGACTCTGTGGCAACCTGGGTGCTCACCAGGTGGCTGGGCCATTTTGGGGCACAAGAGCCTCAACTTTCACCTCTCACTGCACCCAGCAGGGGACTTAGCAAATATCAAACAAAGGCCATGTTTACTTTCTCTCAGATGAGGCCCAAATAACGTTCTGTCCAGCCGTTCAGCAAACACTTCCTGAGCCCTCACTGACCATGGGTCCTGTGGGGAGTGTTTCCAGATGCCTCACCTTACACAGTATCTCGATGAGACAGCAGCTGTTGACTGAAGAAAAGGCACACCAGTACAGAGAAGTTGATGGCATGCCACGTGTCCCACAGCTAGGAGGCGAGGGAGGAGCCAGGACTTGAACCCAGGTTTGTCTGACCAACTCACGTTGTGTCTCCACACTCCAGCTCTCATCTGCACGGGCTGGAACACTCCTCTCCTGCCTTTGCCTGACTAGCTTCTCCTTCTCTGTCAGGTCACAGGTCACATGACACTTACAAAGGTCTCTGCTGCCCTCTAAGCAGGACAGCCCCTGGCTAGATGCTCTTGTCGTTTGTCTGCAGCTTGGCGCTGCTGCAATGAAGTCATTCTTTTTTTTTTTTTTTTTTTTTTTTTTTTTTTTTGAGTCAGAGTTTCGCTCTTGTTACCCAGGCTGGAGTGCAATGGCGTAATCTCAGCTCACCGCCACCTCCGCCTCTTGGGTTCAGGCAATTCTCCTGCCTCAGCCTCCTGAGTAGCTGGGATTACAGGCACGCGCCACCATGCCCAGCTAATTTTTTGTAGTTTTAGTAGAGACGGGGTTTCACCATGTTGACCAGGATGGTCTCGATCTCTTGACCTCATGATCCACCCGCCTCGGCCTCCCAAAATGCTGGGATTACAGGCGTGAGCCACCGCGCCCGGCTGAAGTCAGTCTTTGATAACAGCATCGTGGCCACTCTGCCTCCCCCTGGGCTGTGAGCAATGAGGCACTCACGGCTGTTCTTGCTCATTTATGGCTCCAGGGTCTCGCTGGGTGCCCGGAACACAGGAGGGGTGCACAACTGGATGAATGGATGGAGGGAGGGAGGGAGGGTGGGAAGACGGCGAAGGGATGGAGGTGGGAGGCAGGGATGAAGGGCGGCGTGGGTGGGTGGGTGGATGGATGGATGGAGGAGGGAGGAATGGATGGATGAATGGATGAACAGTAACAGATGGACAGATGGAGGCAGGGGTGAAGGGAGGGATGGGTGGATGGAGGGAAAGATGGATGGATAAATGGAGGAATGATGGATGGATGAAGGATGGATGGATGAATGGAGGAGGGAGGAATGGATGGATGGAGGGAGGGAGGAAGGCAGGATTTAAAGGGAGAGATGGGTGGATAAATGGAGGGATGGATGGATGGGTAGAGGGAGGAGGGGAGGCAGGGATGAAGGGAGGGATGGGTAGATAGATGCAGAAGAGACAGATGGAGGGAGGGAGGGAGAGGGATGAGTGCTGAAGCTGAGCGCAGGCAGGAGCTTCCTGGCCCACACCCTGCACCTGCCTCACACGCCCTGAAGGATACGATGGTGTCGAGCAGCAGTACACCCAGGCTGCCCACAAGCCAGGGCAGGTGGTGCAGCAGGTAGCTGCCCTTGCTCTGGCCCTCCTCCGGGTTTTTGAGCAGCACACTCAGCCCGTACAGCGTGTTCCCCAGCATCACCAGCGCAAACAGTGAGTAGGAGATCCCCTGGGTGGACTTCCGGAGGAACTGGGGCAGGAGGGGGTCGGGTCAGAGACCTCAAACAGGCCTCTTGTCACTCTGGATTATAACTGTCCACATGTCCACCTGGCCCACCACAGAGCACCTGCTCTGAGCTGATCTTTCATTGTGTGCCCAGTGTCTGACATGGGCCCGACACACAGAAGGGCCTCATCTGGCACTCCTCCCACCAACAGAGGAGCCCTTCCAGGCCCCTGCCCAGGTCCACAGGAGACCGTGGCTGTGCCAGGCCTGCTGGACCCATTCTACCCTGGCAGGCCTCCCCTCCCTGGCTCCCCAGGTTTTCCTCTCCCCCCGGGCCTCCAAGCTCAGCCCCTCACCTTCCCCTGACCTCCCACTTCCCCAAGACACACATGGGTCTCTTGGTAGCCTGGCTGGCAGGCCATACCACGCCCGTTTTCCAGAAGCAGAAATGGAGGCTCGGAGATTGGATTAGCTTGCCAAGCCCAGACTTTCTGAACCAAGGCTCCTATGCTGTGTACCCAGAGGGCCAGGACAGCCAGGCCGGCTCTCCTCCACTTGGCCCCACCCGGCCCCTGCTGGAGGCTCACGTTGGTGCGGATCTGAGGCAGCCGGGACAGCAGGTACAACACACTGGAGACCGAGCCGATGACGAAGCCAATGATTTCCTGCCGAGTAAAGGGCTGTGGGGCAGAAGGGGGCACTTGGTGCCTCGTAGGGGCCAGAGGGGCAGAGAAATCCCTCCTCAGAGGGTGACCCCCACCCCACTTAACGCCCACGAGGCTGTGGAGGGGAGAGCCCTGGGGATGAGCCAGCCACGCCCACGCCTCACCTTGCTGCCTGGCTCCAGGGACAGGAGCACCCGCCCCCGGAAGGTTTCCCTCGGGGCAGCCATGGGCCCAGTGGCGCTCAGTAGCGGTGTGGCGCACACCGTCCCCGTGAGGAACAACAGCACAGAGTTGATGGGGGCAGACACTGCACACGAGGCAGGAGGGAAGCTGAGGTTAGATGGCTGAGTGGCAGCAGACGGACTGGGGGCTGAGGCCTGGCCTTGCCTCTCAGGGGCTGTGTGACCTTGGTAAGTGACCTAACCTCTTTGAGCTTTCATTCTTCATCTGTCGAATGGATACAACAGTACTCTTCTAGAGTTGTAAAGGTAAAATGCTGAGGGCAGGGGAGTCAGGCGGGGGTTATACGAAGCAGAAATGCTGATGAGACACAACTCCCTCCCCAAGCGCCTCCCCGGGTCCGTATGGCCTCAGCTGACCTTGTCTCCCGCTCCTGAAGGCTGGGGCAGAAGCAGCCTTGGTGACTTGTCCTCGTTTCCCCAGCTCCAAGCCCAGGGCTGGACACAGAGGAGGGGCTGGAGCTGGGTCTGCTGAATGAGGCCTTGGGCGAACAGAACTAGCCTGTGGTCGGGGTCAGGATTCGCTCACTGCCCTCAAGCCTCTATCTTGGCCAGTTAAGGTTCAGGCTCTTAGATAAGGCCCGGGGAAGCCTTTCTGAGGTTTGGGTTATCACCCAGCCATGGGAAACCTGCTTCCTCCCACACTCCAGGCGCCCTCCCCCCAGCCCCTCAGGCTGCTGGTAGAGCATCTGACAGAGGGCAGCCCCCATACTCACACAGAGAGGGGCGTTTCCTGAACTTGTAGTAAAAGTACAGCGTCAGCATCACCAGGTCTGCCAAGACGTAATATACCGCCGTGTAGGTCTGTAAGAGACACGGGGGTCCCAGGCATTGGCGCAATCCCAGGGTCTGGGGCCACGCTGCAGCAGCCCTCTGCCACATCCCAGCTGGGTGACCCTGACCAGGTCATTTCACCTCTCTGCGTTTCTGTTTCCTTATCTGGCAAGGAAGAGCTCACCTGGCAGAATGACAAATCAGGTGGGCAAAGGCACAGCAAAGATCTAGGCCAACAAGTGCCACTGAACAGGTGGTCCGCACTAGCAGTCAGGACGAAACAGGACTCCACGGCGAAGTGATGGCTCTGGTTTGGCCTGACACCAGGGCAGTTAGAACTTTTTGGTCCACTTGGGGAGACAGTGCCTTCCTGACTGGGAGCACCAGCTCTGCCTGTCCACAGGAGTGGGATGGCATCTGGGCCTCCCACGAAAAAACTCCCTTTCTCCTCAAGGGGCCCACACTCTGAAAGCTTGGTCAGCATTCTAGCACCCTGGAGGTGGAACACCTGGCAATGTTCCTGTTAGATGTGTTCATATTGCAGATGGGGAAACTGAGGCCCAAAGAAGAACAGTGACTTGCCCACAGTCACAGTTTGGCAGACAGAAGGCGTGGAGCCCTCACAAGATGGAATGATGGGTCAGGGTTCCGGAGACCGGGTGGGGCAAAGAGCCTGGCATCTGCTCAGGCAACCCTGCAGGGTGAGGCAGGGTTAGGGTTAGTGCCACCTTCCCGGGGACCGGCCCACCTGCAGGGGCAGCTGGTCAGCAAGGAAGGAGCCGATGAGGTTGCAAGAGTCTCCGCCGATCCAGCCCAGGAGGAACCACAGGGACAGCGCCTGGTCCATGTTGCCTGTCTTGTAGGCTTTGATGAACTGGCTGTGGAAGAGGAAGAGGAGGGGACGCATGTTCAGGCCGCCTTACAGGGGACACTGCCCAGAGGAGACAACCACGGGAGGGTGACGCCGAGATGGAAAGAAGGCGGCCTGGGGGCCCATCCTCTCCATGGGCGGGGTCCTCAGGAGTCTTCTGAGCCCTTTGGTGGATTCCCCTGGAGAATCCCTTCTAAGCCGAGGGCTCTACGGCTGTGTATCTTTCCAGAAAAAGCCCAGCCTTACTCAGATTCTCCTCCACCACACCCTGGGGTCTCCAGTGGGGATCTGGGGCTTATGTAGCGTCCTGAAGTTTTGTGTTGGGTCCTGAGGACTGCTGCAGAGAACCCTGGATCCCTTCTTCCATGGATGTGGGAAGGTGCTGGAAAGGGACATGCAGGCCAAAGGCCTTGGCATGCCAGGTCTCCAGGAGCAGCTGCAGCCAAGACAGGCAGAACCCCAGCCCAGTTCTCTTTAGAGGGCAACAGAAAAGGGCGGGGCTGAGGTGCCTGGAGCTCCACTATCAGTCATGGGCTTTTGGTCCCCTGGCTGTTTTCCCAAAGGTCCCTGGTGCTGGGACCCTCTTAGGACTTCTGGCCAGATGCGAGTACGAGGCAAAAGCTGGCGGTGGAGATGAGGCCCAGGGCAATTCTGAACCCTCTGCATGTGTGCTGACTCATTCTGTCCTCAAGGCACCCGTGCTATGCAGTCCACCACGATGACCTCCTCACTGGGTATGGAGGAAGTGGTCCCATACAGCTCAGATTCAACCCCTACCTGAGCCTCCACCCTTGCTGTTAACCACGATACATACTGCCAATTTACCGTTCCCATTTCATTTTAACCACCTGCATGCATGAAGGAAAACAGACAAACATAAAGAAACTAAATGTGGCCAGACATGGCGGCTCACACCTGCAATCCCAGAACTTTGGGAGGCCAAAGCGGGTGGATCATTTGAGGCCAGAAGTTCAAGACCAGCCTGGCAACATGGTGAACCCCCATCTCTACAAAAATACAAAAATCAGCCAGGCATGGTGGTGCTTGCCTGTAATCCCAGCTACGCAGGAGGCTTTTTGAGGGAGGAGAATTGCTTGAACCCAGGGGGTGGAGGTTGCAGTGGGCCAAGATCACACCACTGCACTCCAGCCTGGGCAAAAGAGTGAGACTCTGTCTCAAAAAAGAAAAGAAAAAGAAAGAAAGAAACTAACTAAATGGCAGTTCATCCCACCCATCATCCAAGTCAGAAACTACGATATGAGCATTGGCTGGGGTCTTCCCATGGCCAGGCCCTCTACCCGCCTCCATCAATCTCCTAACCAAGCCTCCCTCCTTTCAGATCCATCCTCCCTTTCAGGAATCTTTCTAAAACCCCTGTCTCAGCCAGGAGCAGTGGCTCATGCCTATAATCCCAACGCTTGGGAGGCTGGGCATGGTACCTCACACTTGTAATCCCAGCACTTCAGGAGGCTGAGACAGGAGGTTCACTTGAGCCTAGAAGTTCAAGACCAGCCTGGGCAATACAGCAAGACACTGTCTCTACCAAAAAAAAAAAACTAGCCAAGCCTGGTGGTGGGCAACTGTGGTCCCAGCTACTCAGGAGGTTGAGGTGGGAGGATCACTTGAGTCCAAGAGGTTGAGGCTGCAGTGAGCTATGACTGCACCACCGCACTCCAGCCTGGGTGATACAGTGAGACCCTGTTTAAAAAAAAAACCAAAAAACTGTCTTTAATAACAAATAAAAAACTAAAACTCCAGTGTCACCAAAAACTGCCAGAGCCTTCCAGTGCCCTTCAATAAGGACCCACATCCTTCGAGTGGGCCCTTGCAACTCCCCAGGCTCACTGCCCCTGGATGGCTCTCCATTCCTCCCCGCTCTGGTCTCAGAAGCCTCACCCACCCCTCCTTGGGCCCAGATGCCTCTGCATCTCTTTCACATCTCAGGAAATGTCAGTTCCTCCTCTGAGCCTCCCCTGACATCTTCTCCTTCCTCCTTTGTAACACTTGATATCCCTGTCCCTCCCAGACTCACTCAAGTTTCTTGAGGACAGGGGAGTAGCACAGGCTCAGCACTGAGAAGGCCCTTAATCAAGGTTTACCCCATGGGCCTTAGAGTAAAGCCCCTCCTCAGATGGTATTACTCAGCTTGTCTTCATCAATTACAGGAAAATGATTCTGTCCCACTCAGGAGAGACTGAGGCCTGGGGAAGGCTGGGGGACAGCCACCCTCCCTCCATCACTTAGGACCCAGGCCTCCAGTTCCCTCCCTGTTTAATCAACCAGCCCAGGCAGAAAGGGGGAGCCGCAGCCATCTCCTCAGATAGTCCTGAGGAAGTTCTCAACCCTGGACAGGGAGCCCTCAGTCACGTATACCTGTCCAGTCAGCCTGGTGAGGGCCTCTCCAATCCTCCCTATCATCAATGCTTGCTGGAGGCTTCCACAGCCTCCAACGTGGCCCCTCTGCCTCTACTCTCTCTCTGTCACTCTGGTCCTTCCTCCCATCACTCCCAGATTATCTTTTCAAGGATACCAGAATGGAAGCTCTGGAAAGACAAGGACAGTGTCTGTTAGGCTTACTGGCACCCAACCCAACATGGCACATGGAACAAGGGAATTCAGTAAAAACATCGAGCCTCTGATAGGGTGCCTGGAGAAAGCAAGGGGGAAGGACATCTGTTCAACACCTGGTGCTGGAACAACTGGATATCCACACGTGCAGCAGCTCACACCTATAATCCCAGCACTTTTGGAGGCTGAGATGGGTAGATCACCTGAGGTCAGGAGTTCGAGACCAGCCTGGCCAACACGGTGAAAACCCATCTCTACTAAAAATATAAAAAGCTGTTGGGCATGGTAACACATGCTTGTAATCTCAGCTACTCAGGAGGCTAAGGCAGGAGAATCACTTGAGGCCAAGAGTGGAGGCTACGGTGAGCTGAGATCGCACCACTGCACTCCAGCCTGAATAACAGAACGAGACTCTGTCTCAAAAAAAAAAAAAAGGAGGAGGCTGGACTCCTATTTCACATCATTTACAAACTATAACACAAAATGGATCAAACACCTAAATGCAAAGAGATGCTGGGCACAATGGCTCATGCTGCTAATCCCAACCCTTTGGAGGCCGAGGCAGGAGGACTGCTTAAACCTAGGAGTTTGAGACCAGCCCAGACGATACAGTGAGACCCTGTTACTAAAAAAAAAAAAAAAATAATTAGCCAGGTGTGTTGGTGCACATCTGTGGTCCCAGCTACTCAAGAGGCTGAGGCAGGAGGACCGTTTGAGCTAAGGTCAAGATTAAAATGAGCTATGTGATCACACTACTGCATTCCAGCCTGGGGAACAGAGCAAGACCATGTCTCAAAAAGAGATAAGGGTAAATCTTTGTTATCTGTATTTGGCTATGGTTTCTTAGCTATGATACCAAAACCACAAGATACAAAGAGAAAAAATAGATCAACTGGACATCATCAAAATTAAAAACTTTTATGCTTCAGAGGACACCATCAAGAAAGTGAAAAGCACACCAGGCAAGGTGGCTCAGGCCTGTAATCCCAGCACTTTGGGAGGCTGAAGCGAGTGGATCACCTGAGATCAGGAGTTCGAGACCAGCCTGGCTAACATGGTGAAATCCCGTTTCTACTAAAAATACAAAAATTAGCTGGGCATGGTGGCAGGCACCTGTAGTCCCAGCTTCTCAGGAGTCTGAGGAAGGAGAATCACTTGAACCCAGGAGGCAGAGGTTGCAGCGAGCTGAGACTGTGCCACTACCCTCCAGCCTGGGCAACAGAGTGAGATTCGGTCTCAAAAAAAAAAAAAAAAAAAAAAAAAAAAAGGAAGCCAGGCTGGGCACAGTGGCTCATGCCTGTAATCCCAGCACTTTGGGCAGCCGAGGTGGGCAGGTCACGAGGTCAATAGATTGAGACCATCTTGGCCAACATGGTAAAAACCCACCTCAACACACAAAAATTAGCTGGACATGGTGGTGCACACCTATAGTCTCAGCTACCAGGGAGGCTGAGGCAGGAGAATCCCTTGAACCTGGGAGGCGGAGGCTGCAGTGAGCCGAGATTGCACCACTGCACTCCAGCCTGGCGACAGAGCAAGATTCTGTCTCCAAAAAAAAAAAAAAAAAAAAAAAAAAA